ATTTTACAGTTAATATAAAAAGGTGAACCTTCTTTTGTTGCAAATTTTTAACAAGGAATTATTAAAGGAGATTATATTCAATTTTGTCATAGTTATGGGCACTTTACTGATCTCATTTAAAATTATTCTTGATTAATAGTATTTTGAGTAAGAAAACAAAAAAATTGATGTTGTGTTCTTTGAGACATGTCTGAAGAGTGTGTCAGAAAAGGCTTTTCAGTTTCCACTCATAATCCATAAAAAATAGTGTTGTCCCTCCATTATCATGTCAACTGAAGTTTGAAGCCTGTCAATACAGAATACATATATGTGTATTTTCATATATACATGAAAGTTTTCCATAACTTTGTTTTGAATGATGAAGGATGTGGGATTTTGTTGCATAAAGTGTAGGCGAAGTCTGTCAGCAGTTTTCTTCTGAAAGATTTACTGTATACAACTTAAAGCTGATAACATTCAAATGCAGAATGTTTTGCTGGCTTTCTTTACTTTCTTTAGTTTGTCAGAGAATTTCAGTCTCTGAAAGGCAGAAAGTAGTAGGAAATGTAATTTAAATTATTTCTTTATCTGCTGTAATGTTTCTCTAGTAGTCACCAGAATGAGATAGATACAAATTGTTAAAACAAGTGTTTTTTTCATTTATTTATTTCCTAAATCACAAAAACATGATTTACCCCAGAGATAATCTTAAGTATTGAACTGACTTATGGTCAAAAGTGCTTGAAGTTTATGATTGTAATCTATATGTTTTGGTTATCACTATCCTGTCACAGAACTGAACAGCAGGCTAATTACAAACGTGGAAAATAATGATCACCAAAAAGATGGCAAACTAAGAGGAGACAGAACACAGCATTCTGGAATTCTTAGAACACTGGAAGACCAAACCACAGAATACATACACAAAAAAAACCAAAGGTTAGTAAATAATGATTCTGACAAAACAGTGAATACCATCAATTCATGACTAGAAGCTTATTTTACCAGCTTCAAATAAGTGAAAGAAAATGGAAAATAAACCCCACATCATTCCATTAATTATCACATAATTCTTCAATTTTATCTTTAGGTTGCTGCCATACAGAACTAGCAAGTCTGTAACTGTTCTTGGTGAAAACCTGGATGGTGAGGTTTGTTTTTCAAATTAGAATGTTCTTTGCAATGTGGAGCAGTAAGCATAATCCTCCACCTAGAAAAAGGGTGATTTTATAAGACAAGTAACTCATTAGAAATATGAAATGTTTGATGTACATTTTACAGTAACTGAGTAAAGTTAATTCATTCCGTGCTACTTTGGAGATTTGCTAAGGAAAAATCAACTATATTTCTAAATAATGAAATCATGGGAAGTGATACCTTTGGTTATAATCTAATTATATAGTAACCACCTCAATCTTATTAATATCAGCCAATTTATTATTTACAATTTCTTGATAGTGACATTGTATTAACTTTATCAATGGCATTTTCTATAATTTAGTTATTTCCAATGGGATAAATATTAGTTTTATCTCAAGCAAAACATTTCATTAAAAATACAAAATTATTTAAAGCATATGCATGGAATTGTCATAGCATCAGAATAAGGACATATTTAGGAAGACACAGTCTGCAGTCATACAGCCTAATATCTTCACTTTTACTTTGTCACCTGTGAGCTATTATAAGTTCTAGTTTAGAAATGGGCAGTCCAGCTTTTGTTACCCAATGAGCATAGTTTTAAAGCCAGTTATTTCTGGTATCATATGGGTATGTCAGCATCTGGTGGACGTGGACAAGAATATTTAGCAATAGTGTACAACTTGGACCTTGTGTTTTCCTCTGCAGTTTCAGTGTTGACTGTTCTGATTCTGTTGGCAGATGTCCATCTGTTGGGAATTTAGTAATCATTCCTACAGGTAACACAGAATAAAAAAGAAATCGTATTCAGGATCCATTAATCCCTCACAATCACTCAGACCACTCTCAGAATGTATGTTTAATGTACTATTCTGGATTGTAAATCATGTACTTGTCTTTTGACTCACTAGGCAAATGACAACAAGCAAAATGATCCTACTTGTCCAAAAGAATATGCTTCTCCTCCTGGTCTACCTCTTCTGGCAATTTCTGTAAGCCCAGCTCAAGTTCCAACAGTTCAGGCAGAAAGTATGTGCTTCCAAGAAATTTCTGGGGAGTTACCATGTAATCAAGATTGGTTAATGAAGATGGAAATACTTACCTTTTGAAAGAATTTGTGCATATATTTACTCATCAGATTGTTACAAATTTTGTGTTTGGAAAATGGGGGAGATAAGGAGGGAGACTGGGTAAAATACTGTTGGTTTGCATTAGAATGTAGCAAAGATGGTCACTTGCTGATGATCCTCAGTTGGATTATAGGAGAAATACATCAAAAATGTTCGTGATTGACCTATAGTTGCACACTAGTTAAAGTCTGAGATATTATCTTACCTATTTGCCATCTATCGTTTAAGGCAAGATTTTGCTACAGATTTTATCAGAAATATTTTAAGCAGGGAGTAGTCCTCAAGAGGTTTTTTTATCCTTATCTGTCAGGAGTTTTCAATGCATATACATCTAAATAGTTTTTGAAAGTAATTATTCCAATATGTTCCACAGGCATTTAACAGGATTTGTACTGTTTGCATGTATATAAATGCCTGAATGCATGCTGGATTTCTCATTTTCTTCTAATGTGACAGCCATTTCCAAAATTTAGATGGTTTATTAAAATAAAAGATTTTCTACTGCCTATTCTAGCAAAGTTTTTGGCATGATATATGAGGGGTGAATTATAAAAATCTTGATTGATCTTTCCTCCTTGCATTATCCGGATGATTGCTAAATATAATTGTAATATCTTTAGAAAACAAGATGGTAGAACAATTGGAACAAATGAAGAAAGACAGAAGGCTCATGGAAAAAAGCAGAGAAGAGCTGGTCAAAAAAGTGAAAACACTACTGGAGCAAAATAAACTGAACAGATATCGTGGTACACTTTTAATTTATTTTGGAATTTGGAATAATAGAGAAATGCTGAAACCTATGTGGAAATGTTAGTCAAATTCTCTTTCAGTGAGTTTAATTACAGAAAGCACAGCTGGCTAAGCAAGAGCTCTGATAATGAGAAGGCTCATTAGAAGAAATAGTATGGTAGAAAGGCTGAAATGTCTTCTCAAGCACTTCTGTGGCAGTCCTATAAATCTGAAAATACTGTGGCTTTATAAACCAAGTTGTGTCCTGGGTACATACAGCTCCCAAGAGCTACTGCTGGCTGTTGTATGTCAGATCCCAAAACTGCACTCTAAAACTCCCTTTAGCTGATGCTTGCCAAGGTTTTGGCATGTTGATAGCCCTTCTGTTGTAATTGCAAGACTAATGCTTTCTTTTCTTTTTTCTTTTTCCCCTGCTATCTAATGTATTCAGCATATGGCATGCTGAATTAATAAGCCTATCATGGCAAGTCTGACAAATCTTGTTTTTTTTTTTTAACATAGGTAATTATTTCATTGAAATCTCACCTAAATTTTCTTAATAAAATTATTTTGAAGTTTATACTTAAGCTGCTTTCCTGAAGTCACATTCCAGTTCTGCAGAGATTCGGTTTAATTACTGTGATGTTTCTAGAGTACTCTTTGTACTTAAATGCAGCTGAATCACTAGGAATCTCAACTGTTATCTAACTGATATGTAGCTTTGTCAAAGGGAAAAGACGTCCCATTTTTTCCAGTTGTCCTTTGAGGGCATGGCCATGCTGCATTCTACAGCATGGTGAAGCTGTAGTTTGAAAAAGAAAACTTGGTCACTTGAAGGAGAGAATCTGCAGTAGCATGAGTCTGCAAGGCAAGTTCAATTTACGCTGCTAAGATTGTCCTAAATGGTTCCTGCATTCTCTTAAAAAACACTAGCCAGTTAGGTAAATTTAAGATTATTTCACAAGGATTTCAACAGCTTCTCAGGTTCTTTAAGAAGCATTAGTACCTCCAAATTATTTTTATCAGACCCATGCAGTTTCAGAAGAGAGTGCATTCGTATTTTTTCACAAGGTACAAAGGGAAGAGTATGTTCTTTAGGAACAGCAATGCAGTTTGTATTTAATTTCATCCTAAGACTGCCATGCTGACAGTCATTTTTGGTTACATACTATATAGTGTTTGAACAGTGGAACTTTTTTCTGGTAAGTTTCTAATGAAGCAGTTATCCTGCTTTCCTAAATATGCCTTAAGATAAATTTCACACACTGCAGAATAGCAGATGTATGTAGCCATCAGATTGCAACACTGCTATAAGCCAGCTGCTGCTAACACGTAACACAGCTCAAGAAATCATAGTTAAATTTTAAGGTAAATAACTGTTTCCCATAACCCTGGGACTTCTGTTCAAAGTCTCTGGCCCTGCAGAGCTCAAATTCTGCATAAAGCCTTTAATGCTGCTACAGTGATGCTGTGGACTTCAGACTGTGGCAGGTATCCCAATCTTAACAGGTATGGAGGGCTTGCACAGCTGAAATCTGCAGAATTGCCAGGCTGAACAGAATTTTGGGTTTTTGACCTTTTGATATACCTTAAGAGACAGAGAGAGCTTCATGTTGCAAGTCACTGTGTGAAAATTCTAATGCATTTTTAGTGAACGTAATTTTAACTAAGATTTTCACAAATTGCTTTCTTTTTAAAATAAACTTACTGCTGATTTTTAATATCTGCATTGGCCAACTGAGTCCTGTGAGATCAGTTTGTCATTATAGTCTTCAGTAGACCTTAAAATAAGATTAACAAAACCAAACAATATTATATATTCCTATGTAGATCGTGAAGAATGGAAGAAGAAATACTTTGAGGCTAAGAAAGCTACGGTTTCACTGGAGGATGTTTTAAGCAAACTGAGACAAGATTTAGAGCTTTGCCACCAGAAATTACTCTTGCAATTAGAAGCCAGATATTGCCGAAAACAACCAAACAATGCAACAAACGTGAAGGTATGTACTTAAATTATTTAATCTTTTGACACAACCTCTTTCTTGTATAAAATATAAATGAAAGTAACAAATTCATCGTCAACCAGTGACTTCTAAACTAGCTATAACAGTCAAATATTCCTCAGTAACCTGAGGTGTGGCCACTATGAAGTTACTCCATCCTGTTCTTGTTGAAAAGGCTGAAGGCTTGAATCTGAGCTTTTGAGTCTTTCTGCTTTGTGTTTGTACAGCACTGTCTCATGACAGAATATCCTTTTGTTCAGTGCCATCTTTGAGTTGTTCAGTTCTGCATTGCTCTTATAATCCAAAATTTCATGGGAAGAGGTAATGAATTGTAATTATGCTTGAAGAAGAGACATCTCTGAAGTTTTTGAAATGGTTACACTTAGACTGTTGAGCAGCTGTGAGTTTTGTGTTGTGCTGCTGACGTCGAAATAGGGGAAATTCATAGAGGAATTACAAAAAAAAAAAAACAACAAAACCCGAAACGGTAAACGTGCTTCTCAATAGTCACAGCTGCTAATTTCATAAATGCATCATAGAAGCAAGTATATTTGCAAATCTGAGTCTGGACTAGGAAAATATATGAACTGTACGAAGTACATGGAGTATCTTATGCTTGTCTGAAAAGTGGGAGATAATCTATGATTGTACAGTGTATATAAATGCACAGTAACATAAATATCTAAAACATAGAAATGTGAAGTTTTTATACTACATTTTTATTACAAGCTATGTCTAAGTATGCTGACTCCTTTTTGGAGAGTCAGAGTTCTTAGGCTCTTGGGCTGTGCACAAGGAGCCTTTATATATAAGATATGCACAACTTAAACTGCAAAACAATATGCTGTTACTGAGGAGTTCTGATCTGAGAAATGAGAGGGAGAAGGGAGGAAGGCCACTGGCTGCTGAGGAGAGCCGCCCTCTGTTGGCAAGCAGACTGCTTCCAGACCTGGACAAGCAAGCATGCATTGAAGCACAGAAGGATGGAAGAGAGTAGAACTGGAAAGAGTCCAGAGGATTGTTTCTGAGGGGTGAAGTAGCACTCAGGGAATGAAGAGAAGCCTTAATGCTGAACTACATTAAAGTTTTTGGGTTTTGTTTTGTTTTGTTTTTTCATGTAGAATAACAGAATCATCCAGATTACTACAGTGCAGCATGAACTTGATCAACTGAAAAGGAAGCTGGATGATACAAAAATGAAACTCGTAATAGAAATTAAGGTACTCTGCCTTTGTTTTACCTTTTAATTAAAGCAGTCAAAATGTTACTACCTATTAAAATCTTGTCAAACATTAGAAGATCTAAATATTAGTTAAACAGTTGGTATTTTCAAGTTCTTATTGTATTCTTATTCTTATGGTATTAGTTATCATAACTTAGCACTTGAGCCAAATTACTTCAGAGCATGAGGTTAGTAGATGTATTTTTGGAATTGGCATTAAAGCTCTTACTTACACTTTCAAGGTACTATGTTGCAATCTCTTTCATAAGAAGTAATTGAAGAAACATACTAGGTGAGGTATAAAGAAAAAAAAAGGCAGAATGATTTTCCAGGCAAATGCAAGTTGTTGTCAACTGCTTTATTCCATATCAGTGCTGCCTATGGCTCCCTTAGAAAGGAAGATGATGGTAGAGCCCTTCATATTGGATAGCAGTCCAGTGTTGAACGCTTGAAATCTCAGTGCTCTGCATCACAGAGATTGTCTGTGGCACTGAGTAATCTAGGGTGGATATGCTTCCTTCATTGTATTACAAGGAGTAGAAAAAGCAATGAATTCCATGGTTAAAGAAAGACACCACGGCCAAGTGCTAAAACAAAGCTGTCTATCTAATTAGACGTGTAAGATTTTAAAGATAAAAGATGTATCCAGTATTCAGCCGTCCCACACGAAAGTCAGTCAGTCTTAGCTATACAAACACATCAATTCCAAAAACTACTTTAAATTACAATTCCTTAAATGTCTGGTTCTTCTGCAGATGAGAAAGCAGGCAATAGCAGATTTACGAGCACTGAGAGCAGAACTGACACAGAAGAAGATTCATTCAGCTTTAATTCTCCAGTCTGGGAAATCTGGAATTTAAGAGCATGACTCAACAGTAATGTATATGGAAGCTCAGAACATCTGTGTTGCTTTTTGTACGCTCTTAAATTTCTCTTGTAAAAAGGCATCAGCAATGCAAGTGATGTGGAATTTGTACACTAGCCTACTAATGTACTGCAACTCACCTCTTTTTCAATCTCATTACTGAAAGGTTTATCAGCTACGTGAATCTACGTTTTTAACCTAGTCATGTGTCTAAAACAAAACTATTTTTAAAATGTAAACCGGTGAATCATGTGATGTCACATCAGTATGCTGATGATCCTTCATACCTACTAAGCAAATAAACCTAAAATCTAAAGTCTTCTGTTCAGATTTTTGGGGCACACATTTAATTTTTTGATACATGATTAACATACATCTTACACAGAAGTAGAGCAGAAGTAATCTTTGCTTAGCTATTTACTGAAGTGTATTTTAGTCATTATGTGTATAATTGTCTATAAAATATCAATGTATTATTGCTACATTATTAAGTATGAACAAAATCTTTTGGTTCTTTCATATCTAGGTGGTTTTATTTCCTCTCTCAAAGGAAAGCTGCATAAACATTAGCCTTATTCTGTAATTAGTGGAAGATGCAAGCTTTGTCTTCAATAAGTTATAATTACGATCTTGGTGCTACTTAAAGTACTGTACAGTCTGCTTTCCTTTGAGTTCTTTTTCAATAAAGGATTTAATGAAGATTTTAGTGCTAAAGTATTAATATTAAAATGGTGAAGCCAGCTCCGTGTGTCTAATTCAAATTTAATTAGTAGAGTCACTCAAGCAGAGCATGGTTGTACTTTAGTTAGGAGACACTTCTGGGAAGCAGAGAAGCTGTGTGGCTGTAAGCTGTGAAACAAGTCATGCATAAACAGACAACAGCATTTATCAACCTTAGAAGGCCGTGTTTTATTTAATAAAAAAATCCTGTGGACAGCAGACAATCTCTCCATGACTGCTGTTACTTGAACAAGTTACACAATTATTTTATTATTATTATATGAAAAATATTAACTAACTAGAATGAAAATACAATCCCCTTCTATCTCAGGGGAAACACCACATAAAAACAAAGTAAAGACAACTGAGTGGATCTTGTAGTGTGTGGAAAAATATGAAAGATGTATGCAGTTCATTAAATAAGCTGACTTCTAGTTTTGAGGAAGTAGAAAAGTTTGAAGTGGTAGAAAACACCATCCCAGTCCTTTCAATAATAATGCTACCTCTTCAAGATAAAGTCCAAGATTTTTGGCTTTTGAAACTAAAGAGTTTACATGATACACAGATATGGTGAAACTTGTATTTACTGAACGCTCTTTTCTAAGAAGAAGAATGATAAAAACTTTAAGGGCAATTATTTCATGTTACATAATTCCTTTGATGTATGAAAGATTTTCTCTCTAAGCACAAGTTTCACCAAGCTGCACCTAAGCAGCAATCTGCCTATCAGTAATCTGTGTTGAGCCACACTCAGGAATGACTTTGCTGAAATACAGGTTGGGCTGGGAAGTCAGAAAGCTGAGTATGCAACTATGTGACCATAGGCTGATTACCTGCTGCACCAGGCAGCCTTTGCACAAGACCATTGTTATATGGGCCCTGTAAATTCACTTGGTCTTGTTACCAGATACACGCTAGGTTTGAGCTTTAGGTAGCTTACTATTGTTTTGAAAAATGAAAAAGATGAGAAGTCTTTTAAAGTGCCCAGGTAAAGCAACCTTGGAACTTTACAGAGAATGAAAATACAGTTTTACATACAAAGTAGCAAGATGAATTTCAGTAGTTCTCAAAGTTTTGATTGCAATCATGGTGTATTTATAAAAAGTCACAATCTGTCATGCTATATGCATCATCAGAAATGACCAATTGTCATAATCCTAAATCAAGTAGTTCACGATTTCATGTACTTACTTATGGTGTCAGGGCTTGCCACATTGCTTCAGTTTGTTTTTCTGCTACAGCTTCCCTGGAATAGTCAAGACTGTTTCCATTCCACATGCCAATGCCCCTTAGGCCTCGATTCTTCACATATGCTGCTTTTAGAGAGATGCTGTGAGGGTCATCATACCATACTTGGTGGAAGTGACCAAGAGAATCCTAAAAAAACATGCAAACAGATAATGTCAGTATACACTTACCTATATAAATATGATATATTAAAGTTAATTGAGTTTTATTATACTTTCTATTCAATACAGTGAAAAGTACAATTATAAGGTTGGATATACAAGCTATGTGTATTTATATTACAATGCTTTCCTGATTTATGGTTGTTTCTCACACAGGACAATTTAAAAAATTAAGTCAAATACTTGGCTATAATTTTACATAGAGAATTTAAGTTATAAAAAAGTGATGCATTTTAACTGAAGTTAGAGGAAAAGACCTAACTAATCTCTAATGTTTCCTGTTAACTATAGCTATGATCTCAGACATGCTATCTAAACTAGCAGGTAAATTTAGTTAGAAACTATGATGTCCCTTTTTTCCAGCAATAAATGGTTTTAGAGGTAGTTGTAAAACTCTTAGGAAAGTTATGTGGTCTTTACCTGGTCACTGCTTAACACCTTCTGATCTTATATAACTTACACTGAAAGTTCTGCCCAAAGAAACCAGCAGTGGTGTTCATGTTCAGTACAATCATTGGTGGACCCTTTTAGTAGTTCTATGTAGAAATCAAATGCAGAAACGAACACCCAAGCCACTAGTTTAGAAAAACTTAAGAGCATCCTAGAATCTCTTTTGGTTTAAATTGGTCCTCAACATCAGAAATCTGTAACAGTGAAGATTCAAGCTAAAGGATTTCTTTGAACAAAATACCCTTTTTGACATGATACTTTTCCTCTCAAGAATAGCTGTGGAGCAGTGAAAACCTTCATTACTCCTGTAATCTCAGTCACCACATCCTCTTTTCAGACAAGAAACAGAGGAGATGGAAATCCAGTCATCAACTACACGGGGGAAAAAAAGAGAGACTAGAAAACACAAATGTCTAACTCTGAAAATTTTATAGTCAAAGAACTATGGCTCACAAACAAGTAGTTCACAACGTGTGGTGTTTTATGAAGAGACACATACCTTGTATTCATAAAATGGAGAGTTTTGTACCTCATCCCATAGTGCTCCTGAAATAGAACTGTTCACCTGCTTCATTATCGCTCCATACGGCACCTGATGCCCTGCAGCATCACTGCAAGGGGCACCACGGAATGGTACTTTAGAAAGGGAACAAACATGATCCTGAAGGAAAAGAAAAAGCAGAAGGCTCGAGTTTCACATTACAGTGTTATTGAACTCCCAAACAGCAGTACAGACAAGAACAAAGTCACAAAAGGCTCTGGGAGTACAAAACTCCCAGATTCAAGTAGATCTTCAAGTATCTGTGCTAGTCATGTTGTTTCTAGACAGGAGTAAATTCAAACAGTTGCATTTTGTTTAAACCCTAGTGTTACAGGATGGGTTGGTTCTCATTCAACTTACACAACTGTCTTATCTATTTCCCTTCCAATTCTAATTCACTCTTACATTTTTTTCTTAAGTACAGTGTAGTTTGAGATTCCATGATTTATCCATATGCTGCTCTACTGCAACAGCTACAGGTTTACTGTTGTTTGTTGCAGCTAATTAAGCAGGAAGCTTAATCACTGTGTTGAAAAGGCAGATACAAGCATTGCAGAGACTACTTTGGACACATCTCATCTCATACAGATAGCATCTATAGCTCTTTAGTCAGTCAAACATGTTGCTTGGGTATTACAGGGTTCAGGTTACCAATAAGGATGATAACTGCTAAGCAAACAGGGCAAGGAAAGGTCTCAAGTCACAGCATTATGCTATAAGCCATCAGACCACAGTATTTCCTAATCCAAAAACAGGATTACTAGTATCTAGCTGGTTTCTTCCTTAGAAGAAAAGAAAAAAAAAATTAAAAAAAAGTAAAAAAAAAAAAAGTATTATTCATTTGCAGTTATACATTTAATCTTACCTCGGATAGGTTTAGGCACACATAATCATAGCCATACCAGGGGACACCCATCACAAGCTTCTTAGGATCAATGCCCATAGTAATGTACTCTTCATACCCTAGTTTTGATGGAAGGAAAAATTAAAATGCATTAATGCATTTTCCAAACTGACTTATAGCCATAGTTAGCACAGGACTTGCATGATCCCTGGACAGAAACTAAGGTGTAAGCTCCTACCAGCACAGTCCCAAATTGGCTCTGTTCAAACTCTTCCAGTTACCAGTAGCAGTCTTCTCAGCAGAGCTGATAAGCATTAACATATTCACAGTAATTCACACTATCCTCTCTAGGTATTTCTTAGCAAAAAACAACAACAACAACAACAAAATCCAGACAGCCCCGGATTGATCAGATTGATGATTCTCATTTGTCTCTCAGCTCGCCTGTGCTGACAGTCCATTATGGAACTGTGTGGGGAGCCAGATCAGAGAACTGATTCCAATTTAAAATCACTGCTTCTCTTTTATCCTCATTTTTAAACAATTCTATCTGTTCTGTAATCCAGCTCACTGTGTATGTGCATGAACAGTTGCACCAGCAGAAAACAAATCTACACTGTTGCCAAAGGAATCATTTCTTAAACTTCATCTTCAAAGGAATCTGCACTGCAAGGATGAGACAAATGCTGCAGGTTCTTTGCAAGCCCAGGCAGACACCATTGATTTGGCTGCCTTTTGTCATGCTAGAAGTGTTCTTCCGCAGCCACAAATGCAAGATGATGATTTTACAAGTGAGAACGCAACCGCTAAAGGTCTATCCTCAGTGTTAGAGGGATCTGAGATGGTATTTTCCCAGCAGGACAACATGTATTTAAGGCTACTAGAAAACCTCAGTACAATCAAAAAATATTTCTAAGAAAAGGCAATCTTTTCTAACCATTCACATTGTGAATATACAAATATTTAAATTTCTGGACAGGTCCTGTCCTCACCAACTAAAGTCTGAAGGTAAGGAGCATTGGCTTTTGCAATACAGTCGGTCCAGATCTGGCTCTGCTCATCATAAGACATCACAAATAAGAAATCACAGGCAGCTGCAATCCCAGTGTAGTTGTAGCACCTCTTATCGATGCACGCAGGAGACCAGGCCACGTCAAATGTTACCTCAAGGAAGATCACATGTTAGTATCATGCATGGCAATTTGGCAGTCGCTTTCTGCTTACAAAGAGCTGTAACTTTTAAAGACAGTATTTCCCAAACGTTGCACAGCGTTCAGCACACAGTGATACCAATAAAGTGTAGGAGAAGCTGCTCAGCTGACAAAGCAAACTTTAGATAATAATCAGAGACTGCCATTATTTGTGAATTCAAGACATGCTGTTTTCCTGTTTTTCCACAATTTACCACTTAGTTTTCAAGAACCAAAGAAATTAAAATATAATGTCAAAATCATAAAAAATTTAGAAACCAGTTTACTGTTTTTTCACTAGAAGGCCCTACTTTAAAAGGATTCATTAGGCCGTACTAACTGGCATCTCAGTTATTGACAATAGCATTGTACCTACAAATCTCAGATAAACCCTTCTTCCATTTAAATTCAGATAGGTCAAAGAGGTGATTCTTATGACAGAATATCATATCTAACATCCATAATTAACCACTGATGATAATATCACACATTAGCATATCACACATTAGCTCTGCATGTCTTTTCATATTCACATGCAGTGTTGTTAAAATGCCTTGTATTTCATTAAGTTAAGCTTAATGTTTGCATAAGGTACATTTTCATTACCTGTGATCCTGGAATTTCTTTGTGAAAAGCATCTGTAGTTTCTTTAACAAGATCTGTTAATGCATAATACTCAGGAGAGGTTTCATTAACTTCTTGCTCTATATCTATATTAATTCCATCCATATATTGTTTTTTGGCAAGGTCCACCTGCTGGGATATCCACACTGCTCTTTTAGCCGGGTCAACGATTTCCTTAAGAGGTACATCACCTGGGCAGGAGGGCTCCAAGAGTCAACATGTATTTGTATCACAGTATGGAGAAAAGATTTGTCTTTACTAAGCTAACTGTCACAGCCAGAAAATAAAAATCCCCACAAGTATACTGTGTAAAAATCCCCACAAGTATACTGACATCTATTTCATCCTTGTGCCATTCCTGGATAATAGAAAGGGCTTAATTTATTTTTTTTTTTAAGTATAATTTTAAGAACTCACACCAGGAGAGATTATCGAATTTCTTTAAGACAGATGTGTTTAAAACAAAGTTCCTTTTGGATTTTTTTTCCACAACTTCAATCATCTCCTTCCTTCTGCCTACTACTCTCAGCACTGTACATTTTCTTTCTTGAAGTCAATTGATTTCCTGTATTTCCAGAGAGCCAGGAGAACTGCCTTTTTCTGCTTTGATGCACATGCTTTTACATTTAACCCCTCTTGTTTTCCACACTGTCATCTTTGATCCTGTTTTTGCCTTGACAGATCCTAGACTTGATTACGGCACACATGTGCAGACTGACATGATGAACTTTGCCTTTCTAATGAGCTTTTGCACATGCACTTCCTGAGTATTCATGTTTTCAAACTCACAACACACAAGGATTGATTGAAAAATGCTAAAAATGCTAAATATAACTTGCAACCACTGTCTTTACCCTGTCTTCTGGGTATTGCACACGATATATAGAAGACAGACCCGAGTATTTCTCTTCTACAGGTTTTCCTCCTCTCTTCTTTCCTGCTCTCCTACTGCTGTGATGCTCTCTGTTAGAGATGATGTCACTGGAATGGTTTTGTTATTACTGTGGCACAAAACGAGGTTAATTTTAATACCCTGCATTCCAGCACATGCAAAATGTCAAGGTAAGAGAACCCTGAGTGCACTATCCTCTTAGTAATTAAACTCCTCACTGATTTTTAATACCTTGCATAGCAGCAAATGTGAAATGTCACAGTATTACAGTGCTACGTACGTTATGCTCCTGACAACTTACAAATACCCACACTTGGATGAAGCAGCCCACCTTTCAGTACTACCCTGGCGCCTTTGGAATGAGCAAAGCACAGGAGCTCTGGATCGTATTTCCCGAAAGCCGCCACGGTTGTAATTTTTGACCAGTCATAGGATTTCCAGGCTTCTTTCCCCACATCGAACACAAAGACCTAGAGGTGGTAAGAGGCCATCTCATCAATTCTAAACCCTTCTCCGTTGCAAAGCACGACTTTTTGCTGGACCAGCGCAGGGAGCCAAGAGCTGAGATGCCCAGGGCTGCTCACGGCCACCACCAGAGCCCCAAACACCAGGCTCGCCCCGGACAGCCAAGGTCACCCCGCACTGCCACCACTCCCCCCCGCCAGCCGGCCCGCAGGATCAGCTCCAGCAGCACCGGGACGCGCACCTCGAAGCCGCCGCTGCCCGCGATGGGCTGGCAGAGCCGCGGGTCCTGGCAGGGACACGCAGCTGCGCAGCCCAGCAGCTGCAGGAGGCCCAGCAGCAACAGCAGCCCCGCACACCCCCGGCACGCCATGTCACATCCCGCTGCTCGCTCCGCTTCCGCGGGCTTGCAGCTCCTCCCCGCAGGGCCGGGCCGGGTCAGGGCTGGAGGGTTCTGATTGGGGCGGTACGCGTGCAGGAGGAAATGATAATCTCCACTGAGGTGCTTTTAAAGAGCAGTGTTTTATTAAAAGATGAAACCGGCTTAAGGGAATCCGCAGTTATTGTGAGGAGCTGAAAATAACTGCGGAGGAAAACAGCGTAATGTGAAGCAGGCTCGGCCTCGGCTTTGCCGGCCAACACGGTTGTGTCCGCAGTTCCGCAGTGAGCGCTAACGCTGATAGCAAACGTGATGCATCGTGTGATACGGAGCGTCACGCTGCGCACGGCTGCTGGGCACAGGAGCACGCCGTGTGGGCATCGACGCTGCTCACCAAGTCCTCAGACTTCTGGTCTAACCTCGCCTGCTCCTCCTCCAGCTCGAGTGTGGAGTCTGTAAATGAGAGGAGAAAGGAGCCGCGTGAGGGGTTTTTTAATACGTCGAGGTACTCAGTGCTAACTATGATCAACCCGAAAGGTTCACAGCTTTTCACATCAGCGTGCATGTGACGTGGTGTTACATAAACGGCATGGAAGTTCATCCCAAAATGAGTGCGTAGGTATAGCTCTCCACAAAAAGTCCTGAAAGCAAGAGTAGGCTCCTGCTTGTGTGATCAGTGTGTTTCACTATTGAATTGATGTAATTGTTACAAAACTAAGTTCACTTCTTTGATCATTTATATTTAGGTAGCATGAATTCTAGCTAAGATGCTTGCTAATAAGGCTTATTTGCTGGTGTGCTAAGATTTTGAGATATTACATCCTCATCTTTTATCCAGAGAGGGTGAAATGGGATGCCTGAGACTGAGCTTTTTCTCCTATACACACAAACTGAGCTTGTGTATCTGTATCCCATGGAGCCTTAAGGCGGGCTATGGCTCTGTATTTCACTGTGGTGATGAGGAGGAGTAGGGAGCAGCATAAGGGTAGGAATCCTAGAATCATAGAAACATTAAGATTGGAAAAGACCTCTAATATTATGAAATCCAACCATCAAACCATCCCCTCCACACCCACTAACCCATGTCCCTCAGTGCCACATCTACATGGTTTCTGAACACCTTCAGGGACAATGACTCCACCAACTCCCTGGGCAGCTTGTGCCAATGCATCACTACTCTTTCAGAGAATAATTTTTTCCTAGTATCCATTCTGAATCTCTGCTGATGCAGCTTAAGGCCTTTACCTCTCATCATCACTAGCTATATGGAAGAGGCTGATCCCCACTTCACCACAACCTCCTTTGAGAAGTTGTAGAGAACAGCAAGGTCTCCTTTGAGCCTGAGGAATTGCACTCTAACACACGCACTGTCACATGTTGCACAAGTACAGAGTTTGTGTACTCACCAGATGGTACACAGTGGAAACCAACAGAGACAGGAACAGTCCTGGTTGCTGAACAGCCTTCTGCACAGTGTAAAACTGGCTCAATGGAAAAGCATTTTGAGGCCTTTTTGTCAAATGCAACTGGCTTCTCAATTTTGACAAACTTCCTCTGCAGCTTGCAAGCTATAAAACATGAATTCTTTTAAATAAACTAGAGAATTTCTAAGAATAACTGTTTTGAATTAAATATGTAGTATTAACAACAATTAAGACCAGTGAACATATTGAGGGACACAAGATATATAAAACTACTCTCATTGAAGGGAAGGCTGTTTTCTGACAAACTCTGTGAGAGAATGGGGCATTTGGGATACAATCCCCAGCACAGGCACAGGTGAAGAAATCAGAAAAGATAGACACTTGTGAAAACCTTGCTCAGCTGACACTAAGCTTTACCCAAACTGTGACAGCACTGAAGTTTTGTTGTGGCTCCTACACATCCATACATCCACTTCTGCTCTGTGCCTGTCATCACAGCCTTGCCATGGCTGAGCATGCCTAGACCAGTGTCCTCAAGGGAGACTGATGGAAGGATATGTTCCAAAAACGCCACAGCTTGCCCCCAGAGTTGGTTCCCGTACAAAATGCAGCATACCCTACTGTGTCCAGTTACGCTCAGGCTGATGTTTTTGTACAGGAGCTAAATGGGAAGAACAGTCATTCACAGGCTGAAATTTTCAGATTAATTCCACCTTTAGCCTGAGTAGATTAAAATAATTATTTCCCACCTCAGGTTCCCTATGTGTTTTTAGCCAGAGCTAGAGATGTGTATATCTTTTAATGGGATTTAAAAGCTTGAAATAACATAGTGGAAATTAAAAAAAGAAAGAAGGAAACAAAAACCCCACAACTGTTATGGACAGACACCCTATCTTTTGTCAACAGTCAAACTACCTCGCCTTCATTTTAATTCATCAACTTAGGGAAATTTAGGTTTATAATTATATCTAGAACACACACATTTCAATAAGTTTGGTAATGTGGAAGAAGTTACACAAGAATGCAACAAATCCAGATTTTGCAGTGAACTGCCAAACTCAGGAAAAAAAAAAAAATTAACTTTCCATTCATTGCAAGAAGAGTAATGACAAAAATAATATGATAACATAAATTAGGTATGTAAATCTTACAGTTACTCATGTGACTATTTAATTAGTAAGCAGTAATGATGGAATCTAAATACCTCCAGTACATACGTCTTCTGAGATGACCCAGGACTGAGCAAAACTCACTGCATCTTTAGCTAAATATCCGCTGGGCATTTGATACTCCCTTTTCTTCTCAGCATCATATTTTCCACAAATACCACATGTTTTTCCAACCATCCAGAAAGCAACCTGAATCTTTGTGGAAATAAAGAAAAGACACTCTTAGATATTTTTCTTGTAAAAATAAATCCTTCAAAAATAATAATAATAAAAAAATACCTCAAGTTTATGTCCATCATAGTATAGTTTTTCTACACCATATTCAGGGGCTTTTAATGACAAGCCTTCCTTTTCACTGCTTATCAGCAGACCTGCAACAAATGAGCGAAATGAGAGGTTAGTATTTTAGGATCCAACCTTAACCACAGGTCAAATTCTTGGGGCCTTACTGCAGTCAGTGGGTAGGGCTGGGGGAGATCTGGTTGCCCATTCTGTGAGTCTCTGTGGACATCACAAAGGACCATAGCCTTGCACTACATTGTTTACAGATACACAGGATTGGCATCTGTTTCTTTGCCCATCTTTCCTATCACTCCAGTGAAAGTCAGGATGAAGTTATAATGAAATCATCTAATTGTTTCTCGTAATAGAATGATCTCTATCTTGAGAGGGGTTTGCAAGATCATGTAATTTTTCAAAAGAGCAGAAAAGATTAAACAAAATATAAAGGTGAGTCTCCTACCAGACTTAGATGTGTATGGAACATCTGTTGGGGTTTGAACACCATTAATCTTCAGCTGGATTAGTCCATTGGAAACATACATGTCAACCTCACTTTAAGTAAAGAAAATGAGTGTAAATAAATGCTTCTCACCGTTCAGTTCATAGTTTCTAATTCTGGTAGAACCAACACTGCAGGATGCTTGAATCACTCTGAGAATAATTACCTGCTACCTTTTGTGAGGAAAGTTAAGAGAACCCAGGAAAGTATTCCAGGGGACTGCTCACAAAAGCTCTTTCCCTGGTCTCGTCGAGTTCTGAGTGTCTGCTTGTGGCCATAGTTCAGGCAGTCAGACACCAGACTACATGTATCCTTGCTGCAAAACACTATAGTTCCTCTTATGTTCATATAAATTGGAGGTGCTTTGCATTTCAGAGGAAGAATGACCTCCTTACATCAATTAAAATCTCTTACAGATTGAATAGCCTGTGTATTGTAGTATATTCTTGAGAGCAGTGTTTGTTCTAATGAAGCCTGATGCACAGACACATCAAAAACACGTCAGTACACTTGTAAAAAAAAAAACCCAAAAACAGTCAGGAATAACGCAGTGACAAGAAATGTCTTTATCACAAAAAAATTTAGTTAATAAAGCAAGCGTCCTTCTGTTTTTTGGCAAAACAATGCAGGGAATACTAGTTTCTCTCTGTTTCTCTAATATTATGGCACATCTAGGCAGACTATTTTCAGATAATTTTAAACCATACAAATCAAAGTTTATATATGCACTTTGAAGATTATTCTCTGCGATGACTTTGGTATGCATAATCCCATACTACTTAGATTTTAGATTTAATCAGATTATATTTTTAAAAAAGAGCCCATGGCTGTTTCAAGATGAAACAAAGCTTGTCTTAAGTTAGTTTCAAATAGATTTGGAAAATTGTGTGTCCATTAAGAGAAAAAGTAAACACTAGGAGAACTACAGGCCAGTCAGTCTCATCTCTGTGTGTGTGGCAAGATTGCAGAACAGATCTTCCTGGAAACTATGATAAGGCATGTAGAAAACAGAGAGGCAATTGGGGACACCATTGCTTCATTAAGAGCAAATCACACCTGACAAATTTGGTGGCCTTCTATGACAGGGTTACAGTACTGGTGGATAAGGGAGGAACAACTGACATAATCTACCTGGAACTGTGCAAAGCCTTTGGCAGTGTTCCACACAACGTCCTTGTCTCTGAGTTGAAGGGACATGGATGTGATGGCTGTAGCACTTACTGGATAAGGAGCTGTCTAGGTGTTTGCCTTCAAGCAGTTGCAGGCAATAACTCAGTGTCCAGGTAGAGACCAGTGATGAGCCAGGTTCCCCAGGGGTGGGTACTGGGACTGGCACTATTTAACACTCACTTCTCAACATTACTGATGAGATGACTGCAGACATTAACTAGTCCTAGTTATTGGTTTAGCACAGGAGTTCAGACTAAATTATTACAGTAGTCTCTTGGATTTATAGTTTATGTTTCTACCTAATTACTAAGAAATAAGACAGTTAAATACTAACAAACTAATGAAGAGTTTCAGACAGTGTGTTTCAGAAACAAAGGACTTTTCAAAGGAAAAGCACAATCCTAATCCTCAGTGACATTCCTAGAAATCTTTCCACTGACGTCAGTAATTTTTCCATGAGTTTTATGCTAGTACTGAT